GGGGGTGGGGGGTTTTTTTTTTTTTTTTAGAGAAACATGGGAGGATGGAGAAGACTCTCATGTCAAATAATCTTTGAAGTCAACAAGTTACACTGCATTCTTGTAGAACATAGTTGTAACACTTGCTGAAAATTCATCACAAGTTCATATGAGGCCACCAACCCAACCAATCACACTCGACATATACACTGAAAAAAATGTTTCATTCATCCAGTTAAAAAAATGTAGGCCTCATTTAGGCCCTTAGGGCAAGTTATTTATTTTTCATTGGGTCAAGTTCAAAAATATAGATGTGAATCATTACCCTACATTTTTTTAATTGGATGAATGAAATTTTTTTTTCAGTGTACTGCCACCCAAATAAAAAGCATCCAATCAAATGCACAACTAATAGCTCAGGCGGGGTGAAGTGAAAGCTGTTTCATGACTTTTATTAGCACTTGTTTGGGCATTTAGAGCTTATTTTGTTGTTTGTCACATACTTAAAATATCGTACAATCGGTTTCTGTTTGTTCTCTCATAGCTGCAAACAATACTTGCAAACACTTAGAACAAACACAGTAGTATCCCATTCAGGGTTGACTGTCATCAGGACAGACATCCACCGGCTAAAAAGGAGTGAATCAAAACATAGAGATAAAATGGAGAACAACACATCCACACTGACTTTATAGAAACATTCTCTTCATGAATGTAGTATGAAGCAACCAGTCGAGCTGACAAATCTGAAGAGTTAGAGATATTTATTAAGCTATTGACCTGCATGACCCTAGGCAGTGTTGGAATTTATGTGTGGGGGTTCAAAAGCATCCCTATTCTTGGCCAGACCCCCATTCACCACTCAGATAAAACATGGCATGAATAAATGCACTTAAGAAGACTGTGATTAACTATAGATTACATAATAATACAATTTGCTAACTTTTTTCCCAAAAGGACAGTTGTACCATCTGTTTTCTTCTACCAGTAATACATTTCTGTATTAGAGCCCTGTTTTCCGGTTCAAATTCTGTTCAGGTCACCTTATTCTTGTCTTCTTGCTATTATGTTTTGCCTAGGTATGCAAGACTAAAAACATCTGTGTCTTAAGAATAGAAAAGAGAGGAGTGGTGCAAGCCTTCGAGACAGACGAAAGAAATGCTCAGAAGGGTTTATAATGCGAATATCCACGAATATCCAGCGAATATCAAACCTAAAACTAACTTTACCGCGCTTTTATAATGTACTGTGAGATGTGAAAACTTAAATTTAGATGAGGAATATACACACACACATTTCGGAAATTCTTGTACTTAAGCCAAGAAGAGATAATGACAGCAGCAGTAATTATTTTCTTTAATCTCTTTAGGCTGAGAAGGTCACGTTGGCCTTCAGAGAGACAACGCAATACTTTTGGATATTGTATCACATCCTCGGCCTTGAAGCGGAAGGAGATCACACAGCAAAACACATTAAATAAGCAAAAATGTGCTTATTAATGTGAAATGTAAAGACAACGTATAAGATTTAAAAAACGAGAAATAGTGATACCTTAAATAAGTTAATACAAATATACACAAAGTGTTTGTATTCGTTTTTATTTTTTTTTCTAGATAATTCTAATTAGTTAATATTTTAATTTTTAAATACCCTCCTATTTTTAGCTCTTGGAAGTACAAGAGTTAAGTTTCCTCATTCTTAGTTTCATTTCAGGAAAGACAAGATTTACGAACATTTAAATTTATGAATATTCAAGAGTTTGCTGACGTGTTAATGAATATTCATAACTCTACACACCTCCAAACCACGCAGCAAGCATTTACAGGTAGGCGAGCAAATTATCACTTTAACCCTTTGAAAAAAACACTTCTTAACCATTTTTGTTTGATAAGTTCAGAGTTTTTGTCGGACGAACTAGACAAGCTAATCGCAAGTGTTTAGATGGTAGCGGGCACTCTTTAGAAATCACAACTAAACGCGGTCACACTTTAAAAATACTTGATGTCTTTTTTTCTCGTAACGATGAAATGTCGGCGGTTTCGTATCATGTTGGGTTTATAGCCATTTTCTCTCTGTTACTCAACTAAAACTGTAATACTACGAGTAAGAACAGATAACGATGGGTTGCAGTTATTTTCTGACGGTTGCACTCACTAGACTTGCAAAAGTTGTAAGTAAACATATAATACCTTTCGTTCGCAATGGAAAACTAGTTAGTGCCTACATCATACTGTGTACTACACAGTAAACATAGTAAAACGGTACACATTATCGAAGATTTCATTCGGATATTGCCAGACGACCTCGTTGGTGAGAGAAAACCATTGGCATATTCCACTCAGCATACAGTACACTGCAGATATAGTAAGTGTAGGATGTTAGTATGCTATTCTGCATATACATGTGGATAGCTTGGACGTTTAGCCTATTTAGCCTATCCAGACACTGTTCTGGTTTTTCTTTCTCTTTCGCCCTCTAGTTGTTTCTCGGAATTTTTGTTTGTTGTCTTCTCAGCAGCCCAGTTATGTTTGCTGCCAGCAGCCCAGGTTTGTTCTGTCACAGTTTCTAGCACACTCCTGTAATTATATTTTACCATAGTTGTCGTCTTGGTGAAAATTGTACTGTATTGCGTTCCAGGGTGCCACAGTCACTTGTACAATTCCATACGTTCATATCTCCACAATCAGAACAGAGCACAGCCCATCATTGGTAAGAGAGTGTCCAGCATCCAAAATGATTGAGTAAATGGATTTAAAGAAACATCTAAAATCTTATATAAAAAAAAAAAAAAAGAAATTTGTGTGTGAACCTGTTTGAATGTTTCAGGTCTGAACTCCATCACAGAGGTGTTGGCATATAATCAGCCTGCATTGTACTTTTGTGATGTCTGCGTTTTGAGAATAACCAAGGCTGATATCAGGAACCACATCATGGGCAGCATTCACAGATACAATTACATTGTAAGTTATTGGTTTTGAGATTTTTTTTTATTTTTAAGATTTGCAACATGACATGACAGATTGCTGTTTTCTTCTCTATTTTATGTAAGGGAATATGAAAATATATGATTTACTTTTCTTTCATGTATTCTTACATTGTGCTTTTATTACATATTTTTTATGTATGCTTTCATTTATGTTCTGAGTTAAAAAAAATTTAATGTGCATATTTTTGTTTATATTTAATGCATTCATTTACTCTTTATTGAAGGATGTAGAAACTCTTTAATATATACACAATTATCTTATGCTTGCATTGACCCTTCCATGGTACACGTGGAAGCTGTAACACCTTTAAGCAAATCTGATATTTGCTTTTAAGTTTTTCATAGTTGTGGTTAGAACATCTAGATACTCCATCATTTATGCTTCTTTATTATTTGTTTTATTATATCTTGTAGCTTTGAAACTGCATGCTTCTCTTCTTCTCTTGTTGTGATTAAATGCACATTTTTATCAACTACTTTTATTGTCTTCTGGTTCTACTTGCAGTAGTTTACCTATGTAATTATTTTTTGGAACTTTCCTTAACAGAAATCTCATCATGCACATGGGTGGACGTCTGATACAGACCTGACTCTTTTGGCTCGCCCTCTAATGGATATCGCAAAAAAGGTTGAAAAGAAAAAGGGAACAGGTGATATACAGGTAAAAAAAAAAAGCATCAAAATCGTTTTGTTATATATTAATATACAGTCTCCTCACTAACCTTCCAATTTCTCTGATAAGGTTCTGAGTGTGTATGAAGTCATCTACAAGGAGATGGCATCATTGCCTGTCCCTGATGGTCTGTCTTTAACGTCTTATCTTATTGCTCCATTCAAAATTTGTGGAAAAATAGCTGAAATTAATGAAAACATTGAGTTGTATGAATATTTTCCATGCAAAGCACTTTAAGTAAAGAGCTGTCACCTCAGAAATATTTATCTGCGCTTATTTTCAAATATGTTGTTTGAAGCCTATTTATACAGCAGTGTAATGTTAATTATTCATTTAACAGATGCTTCTATCCAGAGTCACTAACAAATGAGAATACAAACAGTAGTGATTGATCCAAGATTTAATTGAATCTAATTTAGTATGACAATTTAGTTCACATGAGATTTTCACATTTTCACATTTTTTATGTCGCTTTAAATAAATTGGTGCTAAATGTTAGATTAAATTAACAATTTAAGGAAAGACAACTGTTTAGTGACTTGGTATTGTCTTAGCTTTTGCTCAGATGAAGAAGATCAAGGATCAGCGAAACCCTAATGCACCTAATTTGCTTGTTCATAACAGCCCGTCTGAAGGTATGGATACTGCAATATGTTTAATATGACTTAATCTGTTTCATTATTATACTGTAGTAATTGGATACTGATATATGTTTGGTGTATTTTAATGTATCTATGTTCTGTGAAAGGTAAAGAAACCGGTGCTCAAGAGCAGCAAGAGTCTGTCAATATGAATGGGACTGCACAACTTCCAACTTTAGGAAGTTTGGTCCCAACACAGTGTGTATCTACGACACCATCGAGGTCAAAGCGTTCAAGTATGATTGAACCCCAAAAAGTCTCAACCAATCCAACACCAAAACCATCTCTCCATAGAACCGCAGGTCCTGTCAAACCATTATTCACATGCCAGGATGTATCTACACCTCAGAGTCTAGTGGATTCTCGTGTTTCATCTAGAATACCTTTTCTAGAAAGCTACCCAGCTCCAGTCCTCAGCCAACACATAAATCAGCATCAACCAATCCCAGGCAGAAGCCTTCAAAGATATATAATGCCATCTGAAAACCAGTGTTTTACTGAAGCAAGGACAATCTCTATTGTAAGACCACCAAGACAGTGTATCCCCATCAGAATTCTTTGCCAGAATGACATTGTGCGTGCTGGTGAAGATGATGGGAACAATTCTGTCCAGTCATTTGGAGTCAGCTATGAATCACATCCAATGCACCTGGCCCAAACCACTCCATATGAAATCCAGCTGCAAACACCATCTCTTTCAGTGAGCCACATGGTACCAGAGTTAACCCAGGATCTAACAAACAGGCATGGATTTTTCAGGATTGAAAGGTCACCTGATAGTCCAGAGCCTGTTAGAGATGTGGAGATCGTTATCAAGCAGATCAGAACCCAAATGCTAACAGAAACACCGGAACAGGCTACAATGTATGATTTAAGTCCGTTCCATGATGAGTCTAATTTACAAGAACCAATCAACACCGGCTGGGAAGCACATGGTAGTGTATTTATATATATATATAAAATATCATTATTTTGGTGTTTGTGTAACTCTCATTTATATTTACAGAGGAGCCTCAATCAGACACCTTAGCAGAAGAAAACACCTTTGTGTTCTCACAAAGTCCAATTTCCCAGTCTCCTCTTACTCGGACTCAAAGTCCTTCTGATCAGTTTCAATCAATAGAAGATTTTCTAGAAAACTACAATGGTCGAAAGCCTCTTATCGGTGAGTGTATCTGCATACTATGTAATCTAGCAAAATCACATACAAAAGATGATGCATTGATTTAAATTCACTGCACCAAACTGTGTGCGAGCATGTTTGTCACAGGTCTACAAGCTGTTATTAAGTGCCAGAGCGTGGATGGGAATCCACCTCCATGCTGTTACCTGTGTCAGCTGTGCTCTTTGAAGCTGAAGAAGAAAAAAATATTCAGCCATCTGACTGGCTGTGATCACCAGCGAAACTACTTAGTAAGTGTTTCTTCAGGTAGCAAAACTTACTCTCTTGCCAGCAACTGAATTAGTGAACTCTTCTTATCTATACATAACACAATTTGCACAAATATACTATACAAAATATACAAACATTCTATTGCTAATTCACCATATTGCTGCTTATGTAAATATCTTCGTGTTGGCAGAAAGCTCTCCATCCACAGCTCTTGCCTAAAAAGCGTAAACACTGCAACACAAATGAGATGCTTGAGGATATTGCTATCCAACTGGAGAAAGAGGATGGAAGAGGACATATAAAGGTACTAACTACGTTCATCTTATTTTCATAGTCATAGAATTAGATGTGATTGTGCAGAGCTGTATGGTAACTTCATGTTGTTCTAAAGGTGATGAGGTTGTCTGCATGTCTCATAAGTGAGGTACTGGAAAAGGATTATCATTGGTGTAAGTACAGCAGATGAAAGCACAATACATAATTGTTATACTTCATCAGTGAGGGCCAAACCTGCCGCCTCACTATATTATTTATTATATGCATCATTTCATCATCAAAAGGCATGAGGGTGTTGAACTGTGGAGCCGATGTGGGGTGGAGATCAGGTCTGTTGTCTTTCAAGGAAGGAACTAACAACACTACAGGTGGGTGTGTGTGTATCTATCTATCTATCTATCTATCTATATCTATAGAGAGAGAGAGAGAGAGAGAGAGAGAGAGAGACAACCTAGGAAGTTGAAGAACGTTTTTTAAAGTTTCATCACAAGCTGTTCGCACATTGGCAATAAAAAAGTGATGAATACATTCTTACAAATAGCCTCTTTAAAATAGAAAAATAAAATAGAAAACTGCTACTTTGCCCTAAACAAGAAATCTTAAAAGGGAAAAGGTGCTCATTTATGGGTAGAGATTGTAATTAACACCAACAAGATAAAGAAAAATTAATGAATAACACAATTGGATATTGAGTGCCTTACGATTATTTTCTACATTTCTTATTATTACGGCATTTTGATATTTATACTGGAAAACAAAGCAAAAATAATTAAGAAAATGATTACAGGCAGATATTGATCGATTTTCTTCTTTATCTCAAGGTCCCAGTCATACTCTTAAACGGCCAGCAGAGTCTGTGCTGCCCCCTTCTGATAACAGCACCACTGGTGAGTGTATATGTGTATAGAGTTTATCGTTTTTATGTCCTGAGTCAAAATAATTTTCTTATTTTCTTTAGTATTTTGGCATATGCTTTAGTAAAATACATAAACTTAGTTTAAAAAAGTTTATAAATAGGTCTCTGTTTTTAGAGAATATATCTTGAATTGTGTCTGAAAATTGTTTTGCTCCATTGGTAAATCCTTATTTCTTGATTTAAGCATAAATCTAACAAAATTTGTGAGGTTTACACTATTTTGTTCTAAGGATGTTACGGGCAGACATTGATAGATTTTCTTTTGTTTCTCAAGGTCCCAGTCAGACTCTTAAACGTCCAGCAGAGTCTATGCTGCCCCCTTCTGATGCACGTGCTTTTATAGCTCCTGCCGGAGCTCCAACCCATCAGATGTCCAAAAAAATGAAGAAGGGTCATCCTAAGAAAGTAGTATGTACAAACAAAGTTAAGGAGCCTGTGTTTAAGGTAAGCCTGTCACTGCAGGAGGGACCTGTTATCATTGAGAGAACATCTCTAAGAGAGACAACCACAGTGGCGCCTGAGATCGAAGACCAAAGCCCTGCAACCACATGCGCAGACGATGCACTGCCTTTAGCGACTAACACGCATTCTGAAGTTCAAATGTGCTTTCACAGCTGTATGTATGAGGAACAGTTCACTAATCCTGTTCATTATGCATACTCAGGGCAGTTTGACCAGTCTCAAGTTATTCAATATTTCGAGCCTTCTCTCAGACCTAGGGACTGTGGTCCAGTGGATGAGGTGGTCACTGTCACGTATGCTGATTGGCCGCTGCAGGACTGGTCCTGCAATAACAACCAGTGGATTGTAATGAGGCAAAACAGGGATGGAAGTGATCTTCCTTCTGAGTGTGCAAGTTACATTCAGTACTGATGAGAATGAGTCTTGAAGCATCAACAAAAAAGATGAATCAACAAAAGAAGATGCTGAGAAATGATTTAGCAACAGAATTCTGTCCAAACTGTTTTGTTTTTTTTTGTTGTTTTTTTGTCGTCAAAACCTACGCTTTAATTTTTTTTTTGTTCAGAATTTATTGGATTTTTCATCAGTATTATTCATTTAACTTCCTCCATCAAAAAGACATTATTTGTTAGTTACTTCCTGCCTTAGCGATATTATATATATATATATATATATATATATATATATATAGTAACATTCAAAAGAGCATTGCTGTGTTCCACTTAACAGACATAAATATTTTCTGTAACCAGTGAATATATATATATCTGTTAACTTGGAATCAGTAACATTAACTTTGAATTAGTATTGAACAACAGATTTATTTTTTCTGGTATACTGTCTTGTGTCACAGCTGAGGTCAGCAAGAAATACAAACACATGCATATATTACTGACTTCACAAGAAGGATTCCTCTCAGATTTAAAGAATTTTTTTATAGACATTCATAAGCTAAATGGTTGTTGTTTAAGTTATACATGTGAAATGTATCGATGCTTTAGAATCCAAAAAATAATGTCTATCTGGTTTGAAACTACAAGCATCACATGTAGTTTGTTTAATTTATTGTATTATTATTATTTTTTTAGAAATGTTAGTGTTATCGGTAATTAATATTCTTGAAAATGTGTTGTAGTAATTCATTTAGGGAGACATTCAACAGTGTTGACTGTTCAGTTCTGTTTAATCCAACAATGCTTTTGTCCTTAACAAGCATGTTGTTTATGTTGTTTCGCTCATTTAGTTTCTTTTGCTTCATAATGTATAAGTTGGTATTGTTTTTAGAACAAGAGTAGTTATTTTTAGAATCAGCCAGGAACATTTTGACAGTGTTTCTTACATTTTGTCATGGCTGTAAGAATTGAATATAAAGTTCTTGTTATCTCAAGTGTTAATATAAAAAACATTTGTATTGTAACTGATTGTTTTAACAGTAAATTCATATTTCTTCAATAAAATTATTTTCACAAACCTATAATCGAAATTGTGTGATAATATACAAGACATTTTGTAGGCCAAATATTTATTTGCTATACTAGAAAGGCTGCAGTGGTGAGTAGTCCTACTTGTGTAGTTTTTCGCTAAACAGATATTGGAAGAATTCAAGAAAAGCACCATTTAAATTTATTCGTAATTCCACGGTTATTTTTTAACAGTACCATTTTTAACCAGATGATGGCGCCAAATGACCAGTTACAACCTGTTTTTCTGTAATTGTTGCTAACTCAATATTTATTTTTTAAATGAAACAAAACTTCATTTATCGCATAATAATTTGTATTACAAAGGCATTTTAAATCAAACGGGTTTTTACGACAACATGAGTATGTTTAAAACACAGATGCGCGTGAACAGCAGTTAAACCGTCTCTTTTTTACAGTCTGAACTGACTTCAGCAGTTCCGCGTACAAACGAACACATTCCCCTCAGTATATTTACTCTAATATACTTACCTCACAAATTTATTTATATATATATATATATATATATATTTTTTTTTTTTTTTTTTTACTATTTATCAACTGGCGTCGTAATGAGTGTGATACTTGGTGGGTTATTGTTTTGTTTGTTTTTGTGTAGAGGTGTTGGCTAGTCAGCTAACTTAACTTAAGCAGGTTGAGTTTGATTTTCGAGTACTGCAGCTTGCTAAATATTGTTTTGTACAGAGTCATCATCATTCAACATCAAAGATATTATAAAGACTTCAGAAAGCCCAGGTATGACATGACACATTAACGAGTTAACATTCAGTATTTTACATTACATCTGATTTTACATATTATAATTAACGTTAAATTAAAAAATAATCCTACTAAACCGACGAGTTTGTTACTTCTCACCTTTTACCCCATTACATGGTGAGGGCCTAACCCATAAACCAGATATTTTTTCTCTGTCCACGCAATGGGATTTAATGCCTTTGCATTTCTTACAAAAACATTTGGTCTTTTTATAGGCTGGCGGGCAGAACCGAAACCAGCGGAGCTGTTAATCAAACTCAGGAAGCTGCAACAAGGTCAATTAGCCTCTTTAGACTGTAAATCAGTCAGTCAGTGTAAATCAACATATTTTATAAAGCAAAACGTAACACCCATATATTGATTTCAGCCAAAAAACACTTTGAAGATGAAGCGAAGGAAACTATGCTCCTCCGATGTGCTAGGAAGGAGGAGGAAGATGCATGTATGTATATACTCATATTACTGTCAAATGGTAAAAGAGTATGATTTACACAGTACCATTCATTTAAATGAGGGTAAAACAGTAAAGAGCAGTGTACTTTTTTGTTGCAGTAACTGCTGAAGCCCTACAGTTGGAGGGAACACTGAATGAAAAGGAAGGTACTCTAGCCTAAAACCAAACAATGAGCCCATAAATTACATAAGCTTTGTTATCAGATATATTTACAGTGTTAACACAAATACACTTGTCATAAAGAGTTAAACAGATCTCTGCAGCTTAAATGTGAGGACCTCCAGCTAGAGGCACAAAGGTAAGCATACTTGGGTATCTATACAACACTCATGGGTGTTTAGACACTTCAAATGGGAGCTGCTCATGTGTGAATCACAACACGAGTCACCAACATTGAGCTTTGGTCTCAGGTCAATGAGTCTTGTAAAGGGTGTGTAATGTATTCACTCGATACCTTACACAAATCATATTAAAATAGGATGACGTTGAGAGCAGCATTTTGTCATTTTTTTACTTAATGTTAACACAGAAATGTTTGTGAGACATACTAGATGGCACCATTTTATTTGATTTACATTTTAACTTGTAACTCTTTAGGCAGCTTGAGCAGAACCATCAGAAAGAGGAAGTAGTAAAGCAGTACTGCTTTCAGATCCAGGAGACCAAACTAAAGCACAGAAAGATTCGGTATGACTTACTGTTTTTAACAGAGAAGGGAAATATTTACATATCAGAAATAGACACGAGATGCTGTGTCATTTCTTAGAATACCATTGCATGTATTGCCAGAGCATCTATTGTAATGCCCACATTCAAACTGAAATGCCAAAACCCACTAGTTCAGCAGCACAAGCCATTACTGATGTTATCAGGAATAAATGACAATTATAAAATATAAGAGCGTATTTTATTATTAAGAGAGGCTGCTTTTTAAATTCTAACTTATTTTAAATAATCTAATTTCATTTTAGGATGAAGTTTGAGAATCAGCTTCAGCAATTAATGGAGCAGCATAAAAACCTGTCCACCGTCTTTGTAAGTGGACTATGAGAATGGATATTAAACTAAAAGCAACTGAGCTTTCTTTATTTGTAATTGTAAAATGGAGAGTGCTTTATTCATAGAACAATTGAATTTTATAATAGCTTTTATGTTCCATTTTTTTTCCTTTTTCCAGACTCCACAAAGACTTCCAGCAGAAATACAGTCTGCAGAGTACACCACTGAGCAGCTGTTGAAGGCTGGTACGTTTTATACATTTTGTTCCATTGCTTAGTTTTTATGGTCATCTGCAGTACAACCAGTGTGTAGTTGCGTGCTTAGTGGGACATTTGATCCGTTCTGGTTTCATTCAGACATAGAAGTCAAATTAGTCCAGTCATATTTCCAAAATGACTCATTTGACCAGTCAACAAGACCGTCACTGAATTCAGAATAGCAAATTAGCAGACTACTCTGCTGAATAAAGTTATGGTAGACATATTAAAGAGTAGCATGATATTCTGAATTGAGCCATTTTTAAAAACATCCTAAAGCTAGAGTACTTGCAATGATGGGATCGCACAGGAATGTAACCTCATACCCAAGTGTCTGTGGACGTAGAACTGAACTCTTAACATTGGACTGACAGCCCTTAAACAAGAGACCAACATCATCCTTACAGTAATCTGATTCTTTCCTGTGTGTTTGTGTGTCCATCCCTACAGAACAACAGAAGCTGGAGCAGTTGACCAAGCTTCTGGACGGGTTAAGCCACACCCAGAATGCAGAGATGCACATGGACACTTGTGAAAAAGCACCATGAATACCTCAAACTGATTTTGCAAACTTAAGCTGAGTATCTAATACCTTCCAACAAATATGAATTTTACAAAGAAGCAGCTTATATATTCTTTTCCATTCTGTTCCATTGTCCTAATTTAACTTGTTACCAACTGTATTGTCAACAAATGCTTGTGAACAAATACTGTTTAAAACCAAAATTAAACCATTCCGTACCTAGAAAATGAAAGTTTCTTAAACCATTTATTTAGAATGTGTAAGACACAATAAAAAAAAGTTTGTAAACAAGTCTAAATTCCCCAGGATTTGCATTTATAAACAAAAAAATGTACTGATGACACTCTTATCAAAATTCAATTCCATCACACTTCTAGATCAGATATTCCTCATTAGATCAGCTTCCAGTTTCCATAGTCCTATGACACATCCAGAGAGCACTCTGGAAAATCTTTGGTGTTCAGTAATACCGTTCTGTCTTAATTAAATTTTGCATTGACAAAATACAGGCTAAAGCCCGGTCCTGAGAATATCTTTATCAACCTAATATTTTAGTTTCTCCTGACAACACAGTTCATGCAGGAATGTACAGGTATAGGTATGTCTGAAACCATTGTCCTGCAAGTTCTGATTGCCGGTGAAAAACAATTAATTCAACTCCACGCCTCACATCACTTTCTCGACATTCAGGCCACTTTCTTGATAGCACACTGTTGATAGAGGAAAGATGAATGAACGGGCCTCCTTTCATTTTAATACATCCCTTACATACTTTCCAGTCATCTCTTGACAGTTTCAGGTTCCACAGTTTTTCTGTTCTTTGCCTTCAAAAGTGGCGTTGTCTACCAACCATCTCTGGTTTCCTTTATGCCTGTGATCAATTGGCACATTCAGCACCAAAGCATAATTTCAGCATGACGTGTCCTGGGGCATTTGTGTGGTGTACTTTAAAGAGGGTGTGTTTTGGTGCCTTCAGAGTAGCATATCTCAGCTTCTGCCCAGACACGTTAATTTCCATTGGAAATTGTGCACACTTGTACATATACATCTTATAGAACTTAAAAGGTCCAGCAGAAAAAGAAAAAGCTGAGAAAGGCCTCTTGAAGTTCGAACCCTCCTTTGGCCCGACTTGTGTTTCTATGTTCTGTAGGGATGGTGTGTGATTACTGTTAAGAGGTATGCCCTGATGCCTTATAAGGGCAAAGTGAATCATCTGTGGGCTCAGATTGGCACAGAGCGAGGAATATTCCTCCTGCTGCATCAAGAATCCTCATATTTTAGGTTGTGCTATGTTCGTGGTCTGTTTATATGAGATCCATGGACCATGCACTGTAGATTACTAGTCATTTAGCAGACACTTATATCTGAAGCAACTTGCTTGCTTCTCTGTGTCTGTTCACAGGAGTATTGGGGATGTTTGGTATTTTTTTTTAGAATGGTTTCAGGTTCTCTTTACAGTTCTCTGTGAGGAATATTGGCCCCTTCATCCATTTTTATCCCAGGTTATTCCCCATCTGTTGAAGCAGAGTGACAGATACGTGAGTGAATCATCCTACTAATCTCTCATCCATCAGCCCACAAATAGTACAGGAGATTCTGTGATAGTCTATTTCATTTATTTCTATCATAAATTAAAACAAATAGATTGGAGGTTGCAAACAAACTCATATTTAAATGTCATGTCATATAACAACACTGAATTACTTTTGAAATTTAAATTTACATTCTTAAATTCTAGGCATACCACAAAAGAATGTAAAGTCAAATAATAAATAAACATGTAAAAGGGAAAATATAATTTGTCAATAAATATACCTAGACATGAAATGCTACATTAGGTGCTTTGCTCAGAAATGATATACTTCATATATATAAGATATAAGCAGAAATAAAATATACGTTCACTACAAATATTGTACAAGGATCTCATGTGATTGATCTAATCAGACTTTGCTCTGCCTTCTCTACATTTCCCTGGTCCCAGCAACACTCTTCTCGGTTACGATAAAGTACCTCGAAACGACTGTAGACTCTCTTTTCTTTGCGCATGCTCTCTATTCTCTTCAGCAGATTGTCCCTCTCCTGTGGGTTGACTGGAGTTCGGCTGAACCGGTTCCGGTTTTGAAATTGGAAGGATGAATTGGAAACTTCTTCTTCCTTGCCCCCCTCGACTTTTCCAGACTCTTCAGTCTGCTGTCTATTTTTCTGGCTATTTGCAGAGATTTGCTCTAGGATCACCTTGGTATCATCCCTGAGGTTGCTGCTAAATATCACATTTGAGGTAGAGGACTGATAGCGTGATGGAGTTGGTTTAACATTGGGTTTGTTGTTCTCTACTATGGTTGAAGATGATATGGATTCAGATGGTTTCTCTTTGACTGAGGGCTCCTCTTGGATCTCAGGGACTGTTTTCATTGACTTGTCCTCTTGAGAGTTGGAAACTCCTGAGTGCTTCTTTTCTCCCTTTGGCCCAAGGAGACCCTTTAATCTCTGTGTTTGTTTCTTGAGGAAATCAAGGGCCTTTGTATCTTTGCCATCAGAGTTCCCAAGGTTTAGGGAGCTCAGGCTTTCTTTGGACTCTGCACGGGTGATGCCCGATGAGCTGAAGCTGCGAGACTTCTTAAGCTCACTCTTTTCAGCATCTGTTGCATCCGTAAGAATATCTTCGCCGCATGAGATTCGACGATGAGAAGATTGAGAGGCTTTGAATGGTTTTAAGAACTTGGGTGATGGGAAAGGCCGAAGTGACTTTGTTGGTTCCTTAGCTGGCTCTTTCTTTGCTGCATCAGCTGTGCTCTCCGTCAGAGTTTTGCTGTTCGTGAGCGGCCTGTCCACACAGACTTCAGATGGTTTTGTTGCAATCACCAAGCGCTGTGGTACAGGATCTGTTAGCGTAATCGTTGGCTCTTGTGTCTTTACAGAGGACTCCACTGATGTAACAAGCACATTTGGAACTGTGGTTGCTGTATCAGTGAGGTCTGGCTTTTTCATGGCTGTTTCTCGACTTTTAGTACCCAAATCTAACTCTAATTTTGAGCTCTTTCTCTTTTCTTCCAAATCTTTGAAGTACTGAAGTCTGCTTCCTGGATCATTTATGTTTAGGGAAGAAGTTGTTTGCTGAGATCTCAAAGGCTCTGTTGGCTGTGTAACTTTATTGTCCTCAGGTTCAGGGTTGTCAGGTTTCTCAGGTTTCTCTTTTTCTTTGATAGGCTCCTCTTTGGCATCTGTGATCGTAGTCAGATCTCCTGTTGATGCATTTTTAACCTCTTTTTCTTCTGCTTTTTTATGCTTATTCCAGTCAAACGGCTCTCTTGACAGCGACCTCCTCTTCTCCAGAAGCTCTGCTACAATAGATGAGTATCGAATAGGCTCACTCTCATCTTTCTCCTCTTGTAACTCCCCACCAGACTTAGCTTGCGAGGAGCTGTGTTGCTCCAGCTTTGAGGAGCTGAAGATTAAAGAAGACCTTAGTCTTGAGCTCCTTTGCAGCATTGGGTTAATTCGAGATCGGAAAGACTCATGCTTGGTAATGCTGATTTCCCCGGGTTCCCTCGGTTCTGGCTCCTTCTCATTGTCTGTTGAAGATGCTAGTGATGAAGCTGAAATGGCTGGCTTTAATGTGTCAGTACTTGTGGGACCCAGGTCAGAGCTAATGTCTTTCACTTGATTCCTATCTTGTATGATGGGTTTACCATAGCGTGGCCGCAAATCAAGGTTTGGCTTAGTTGGGATGTTTGGACGCTCTCTTAAATGAAAGCCTGGTCCCTCTGAGCCATAATGTCTGCTGTCAGGTTGTTGATGTGGCTCATCAAAGGCATCTGGACCCATTGGCTGATGCAGGCCCTCCTCTCCTGCATCTTCATAAGTGCTGAGATAAGAGTTGATTCTCCAGCTCCGCAATCCCTGCTTTACACTGGGGTCCTGGGACTGCCGTACCTGCTCTCCAGTGGAGAACAACTGCTTGTGGTCAGGAGGATGTGGCTGAGTCGGCGAACTCTGACAGGCATATGCGTGGCCTGCAGCAGGCCTCTTGTGGGTTTGTGGACCATAGCGTCCCCCTCCTGAGTACTGTTTTTCTGAATCACTTTTGAGGTCGTCAGTGGACAAAACATTCAGATTTCCTGGTGCTTCAAGTTCAGGAGGATATGCATAATCAGGGTGTTGATCTATCTGGTACATGCCGTAGTTAAGACGGTCATAGTGCCCGCGCTCAGAATCCGGTCCCATGCCTTCACTATGATAGTAATGTTGTTCTCGCTGGTAATGTGATTCCATCTCCTCCAAGTTGTTCATTACACGCTGTTTCATATACTGCCGGGAGGAGGCGTAGGTCTCACGGGTGCCCTCGGCATAGCTATGCCTCTTAAAGGCATTCATTTCCAGCTGCCTGGAGGCTAACATTGAGCGTCCTGGTTCCAAGAATGACTGTTGCATCTTGAACTGCTGCGTTGCATATTTTGTGACCTGCATAGGACCTGCACCTGGTTCAAGTGTATGGCGGAACGGGTCCTCCCTCCGAAAAGGTAGTATGGATTCAAGACGATCCCCAAATGGGTAACCAGTAAGTTCAGGCTGTCGAAGATAACCTCTGGGATTCCTTAGTGACTGAGTCCTTTTTAAGCCAAACTGATTGCCAAGGTAACTACTTGTATTGTCTTGTGGCATGGGTACAAGAGCATTTTCAACAACAAGAGGCTGAGACTGAGCAAACAAGATACGAAACTCCTCATCAAATGTGGCAACTAGTTCTCCAAGGAACAAATGGGCAATGCAACGGTGGATCTTCTCAAAAGACCACATAAAACTGGAGAAAGAGAGAAAGAAATATGAATAGTGTCATCTGTGCCACATGCAAGTGGGCATGCATTAGAGTTGAATTCTTATCTGCCACTGAGCTCACCTATAGTTTCCACTGATCACTGCTCTGCAGTCTGTCAGAAGAAAACGGTCCATCACTTGACCTTTAAATGATTTTCCTGTGCGGCAGAAATAGGTAATGCCTGCCACTGTCCGTACCCGCATCATCTGTAACCAGTGAAGTCACCGTTAAATCTGCATTTTCTTAAAATTCAAACTTAGGCTAGTTGAGGTAAATTGAACTTACATGGATCATATCCAGATTAACTTTACAGCTTGCCACCATGTTAACAAAATGATGGGCATTTTGTTCATCCAGAAGAATATAGACAGGCACATGACGTGCTGTAGCA